CACTGTCGTCACAGTAACCCCCACCCCGTTGGTCTCAGGTTCTCTGAGAGCCAGGACGCCGGTGCCCCCACCCTGGGGCCCCCGATGTCGTCTTCTCCCGTCACCCACATCTCCAAGCCGGCCGACCGTGGGGCCTGGTCTGGGCTCTGGAGCTGGCAGGGGGAGCCCTGCCCTTCCCCACCCGCCTGATCCCGAGACCCCAGGCCATGGATGGGGCGTGGGGTGGGCTCCCCCCGAGCCGTCCGTGAGGCGCCATCACTCTGGCCCCGGGAAACCGCAGGCCCCTCGGCACTCACGCTGTGGCCCAGCTGGACGCCAGCGCAGGGGAATCTGAACAGAGCTCCGGTGCGTAAGAAAAGGGCAGGGAACTGAGACCTAAAACCGAGAAAACGCTCAGCGTCGATGTCAGGAACAGGGAGCTGCCGAGCTCTGGCGTGTGGACGGCCCGGGAGAGCGCCGGCCGGGAAGGGAGGGACGCAGGGGCGTGCAGGCCCCCCCCCCCAGTTCTGGGGATCAGCTGGTGGGGCTGCTCAGGCCGGGCCCTCGGGAGCCTCCGCCTCCTCCTCGGAGAACCGGGTGGATCAAGGCCAGGACCGCGCCTGCCGTGCCGCCCCCGCGGCTGCTCCCCCGGCCGCGGGAGGTCAGCCGTGTGGAGACACCCGTCAGATGCAGGGTCCCCGGGGGCTGACTCCAGCCCGGTCCCTGGTGCCCACTGGCGGGCACCCCGGGCACCGGCCCGCCCAGGCCTCCCGGTGGCAGCAGGAGGCTGCCCCCTGCGGACGGAGCCCAGGCCCTTCCCTCGCAGGCACCACACTCGGCCCTCGGGAGGTCGGCGACCCCTCGCTGGTAGGCGCCACTTTCACTCCGAAGCACGTCCGTGCCCCAGACGGTCCGTGTGTCACGTGCCCGCTCCCGGCACCTGGCGGAGGTGAAACTGGTGCACGAGGGCACAGCCGGCTGCCAGCCCTGGGGCCCAGTGCACCAGCGAACCGAGTGGCTGTGAACGGGGTCCTCGGGTTCTCGGGTGGGGGCCCCAGAGCCACCCCAGACCAGCTCCCCGCTGTAGCGCTCCACGCACAGCCTGCTGGAGTGCAGAGAGCGCCGGGCCAGGCTGGTGCGGACCGAGCACACGGGTCCCCGCCGTGGACCGCGGCAGGTGCCGACACAGAAACCCCAGTGGACGGGAGCCTGGGGCGCTGTGTCGCCCCCCCGGCCCGTCCCGGCGGTCTCCCTTCGGACTGGCCAGCTCCACCACCGATGGGAATCAGCCCCCAGAGCTCCCTGCCGCCCTCAGGCCCCCACGCGCAGCTCAGCAGGGGGGCCAGGAGCCTTGCTGGGCGCTATGGAGACAGCTGAGTGCTGGGTCTGGGGACACGTGCTTGGACTTCATTGTTTTCGTCCCCTCCTGGCTGTCGGACAGACACTTCCAAGGCGACCTGTCCCCGAGGGACCCCTGGTCTCTCCCTCCCTCCAGGCCCTCCCCTCCAATCCTTGGCAGGGGCACCCCCCGGCCCCCACCCCTGGCTGGAGCTGCACCCCCCACCCACGGCTGGAGCGGCATGCCCTGCAGCCAGGGCTTCGCCAGGTCCTGACGAGCTCACGTCCTCTGTCCCCTGCTCCTGTCATGACCTTCCTCCCCCCCCACATTCGTCACCACCCCAGCAGCAGCCTCTCAGCGTCCCTCTGTGCCCCCCTCCGTTCTGCCCTCCCAGGAGGGGTCCCCAGGGAGGGCCCTGCGCCCCTATCAGTGTCCTCCCCACGACCCACCGCCTGGGGAGTTCTTTCCCGCCCAGGTGGACGCTCTAGGCCAGCTGTGGACTTTGGCCTTGGCCCTGGGAGAGGACAGGCTCAGGGAACACCAGAGAGTGAGGGCGGGCTGGACCCCAAGCCCTGCCTGGGTGGGCTCCCGCCTCGCTTGCGGGGTGAAGATACCCGGGGGGCACTCACGTCCTCAGGACCCCGCCCGGGCCACCGGCCTGCCTGCCTTTGGCCCACGGGCCACGGCCCCCTTCACCTCCCCAACACCCCAGAGCTGTCGCCCAGGCTCCCCTCCAAGGCCTCTGGACCCTCTTCCAGCAGTGGGGGGCTGAGCTGGCCCCCCAGCAATTGCTACCTCCGCAGGGACCTGAAAGCTGTCTGTTAAACACAGCCATCGTCAAAACATGAACCAGACAAACTCACAGTGAAATTAATTGTACTGAGAACGAAGGCAATACACACCCAGAATGCGTCACCTTCTGATTGTTTCTGTCACCTTTGACTGTTATCTCTGCCGTTGAGGTTATTGGCACCAGTTGCATGTCCAGGGTGCACTGTCCCTTCACAGCCCTGCGTGCCAGTTTCACAGGGTCCCCATGCGGGTCTGGGGCGTGGGCCCAGGCCAGGCAGGGAGACCCGTGTCCACAGAGGAGGCCGCCCCTGGACCCCGGACCCTCCGACCAGGCAACCAGGCAGCTGGGGCCTCCGGCACCAAACACCTTGCTCATTCCTCTCCCTAGCTCCGCCCCCGCCCCAACACTGTGGAGGGAGAGACTCCACCAGGATAGAATCTCACCTGCCCGGTGCCCGGAGTCTAGTTAGAAGGCGTCTCACAGGCAGAGCGGTGTGGCTGTTGGGCCCCCACCTGTCTGAGCGGTGACCCCTCCCCCCGGTGCACGCAGGGCCCTGCACAGCGCCCTCTGCTGGAGAAGTCGCCCACTGGACGGATCTCTCCTCCCCTTGGGGCTCAACACTCGCCGGCCGGAGATCCCCTGGACACCACCCCAAGGGCCCCTGTTCCCCTTCTGACGCCAAAAGCTGTTCTCCCTGCCTGCACACGGGCAGTATGCCCCCCACCGCTGCTCAGGGCGCGAGGCCTGGCCGGGGACGCCGCTCCACCCAGGCAGCCAGCCTGGGCCCAGCTGGGCCCCTCTCCCAGCTGCCCCTGAGCTCCCCACGGGTCGCCCTCCCTCTCCGCCAGGGACAGCCTCGTCCCCAGGCCCCCGTGCAGGGACCTCCGACTGCAGTGGGGAGGGGACCCCCAAGAGAGGATCCCCAGGCTGCCTGCGGCCGGCCGAGAGCTGGAGACAAAAGCTGTCCCACCCCTCGCGCGAGTAACTCTTCGGGGGTCGCCGGGACGCTCCGGGTGCACGCCCGCGGGGGGACTCTGGTGGCCCGGCCCCTCTCCACCCAGCGCCAGGCCGTGAGCCGCCGCGGGTCTCCCCGCTCCATGGCACGCAAGCCGGCCGGGCCACCGGGGACGGGAACCCCGAACACTCCTGGGCCGCGCAGAGCCAAGGACAGCCGCCTTCGGGGCCTCGGGGTCCCTCTGGCGCTGGGAAGCGGAGGCCAAAGGACGCACAGGACAGGCAGGGTGGGCTGCAGACTAAGATGCCCGAGGAACGCAGGCAGTGGGGAGCCGGTGGGGTGGGGGTGGGGGTGGAGAGGCCGCGCAGAGACAGGAGGACCACATCGGGCTTTCTCAGAGGCACCGACCCAGCCAGCTGCTTCTCCCACCCGCGCGCCCTTGGAGCTGCCTGTGGTCCCGCCCGCCCTCCCAGGGACCCGCACGCTGGCCGAGGGCAGGGCCATCGCCGCGCCCAGGCAGGGTCTGCGGAGCAGGGGCTCCCCGGTGTGAGTGTGTGAGTGTCCAGTGTCCGCGGGGCCGCGGGACCTCGGCTCCGGCCCGGGCTTGCCCTGTCGCCTGGAGCCAGACCTCCGAGTCCGGGCGCCTCAGGCTCCCCACCTCCCAGTGCGAGCTTGGAACGGGCTCCCTGGGAAAAGTGCCTTCGGGTCCGTCTGCGCCGGGGGGGCTGGCGGCACGAGCCCGCGGGGGAACTGGAACAGCCGAGCTCCCAAGCGCCGCTGACCAGCAGAAAGGCGGGAATGTGTGTGTTGGGGGGGTGGTGACTCTGAGTGGCCGAAGTGCTGAGCCCTGCGGGGGGGGGGGGACAGCCTCCGACCCCCAGGTCCAGGAGCCCTCCCCACAGGCCTTTGTTGGAGAAGCGAGACAAGCTGGGGTGCAGGGGGGTCCAGAAAGCCTGATATGCACACGTGGGCACACGGGGAGCTGGACACACAGGTCTTGCCCAGACACGCACACACGGACGCGGTCTGGGTGCTGCACACCCACCCCCGTGATGGCAAGGCCCTCGGGACCGTGGAGCTGCCAGCCCCGGAGGTGAGGTGCCGCCTGCCGGGAATCGAGCGGGCTCCGCTGGCCGGAAAGGCTCCATCCCCTGGGGCTGCCTCCGAGAAGGCCCCGCCCGCCCGCCCGCCCGCAGGCACGGGGTGGGGGCTCTCACTCCTCGGAGACCTCGCCTGGCTCCCCGCGGCTCGGAGCCTGGGGGAGGGGCACAGGAGAGCGGAACCGGGTCCTGGGTGCAAGCAGTTTGTGAGCCCCGCACCGACATCTAAGGAACGTGGAGGGACCCGAGCGCCCCCCACCCCCCCACTTGGGGACTTGGCCGCGCCCCGAGGTGAGGTGAGGCTCCTCTGTGGTCCTCGACCGCCCGCGGGGGCCGACGATTTGAGTCCTTGGGGACCCAGCCCCCCTCGACCGGCCTGAGCTCCTCAGGTGTTCTGTGCAGCCAAGCGAGTTGGACAGAATTTCGTCTCCGGGCGGCGGGGGCCTTCCACCCGCGCCGAGCCCCGCTGGAGATCTGAGGACATCACGCAGGTGGCCCACCCTCGAGTCCGAGGCCGCTGCCTGGCCCACAGCCCCCCACTCCCTCACCCCGCCCCGGGGCTCTCGGAGCTTTTGGGGGAAAGCGGCGGCGCGGGCCGGGGCGGGGGCGGCCGGCTGGGGGGGGGCGGGGCAGGCCAGGGTGGCGCGGGGGTGGGAGGGGAGTTCGGGAGGAAGCCGCCCTCCAGCGCTGGCGGGCGCGACCACCTCGGCGCGCGGGCCCGGGCCGCAGACAATTAAAGCGGGATTCCTCCCCCGCTGACGTCTGCGGCGCCGAGGCCCCTCCCGCGGGGGCATAAAAGGCGCGGGCTCCGCAGCGCAGGCAGCAGTGGGGGCCGGACGGCGTCTCGGTGCGCACTGCGCGGGGAGCGGAGCGCGGCCGCCCGCGGAGCCCCAGCCGAGCCGAGCGCAGCCGAGCCCGGCGCAGCGCCGCCGGCCCCGCGCCCGCAGCCATGCCGGCCGGCCGCGCCGCGCGCACCTGTGCGCTGCTCGCCCTCTGCCTCCTGGGCAGCGCGGCCCAGGATTTCGGGCCGACGCGCTTCATCTGCACCTCGGTGCCGGTGGACGCGGACATGTGCGGCGCGCCCGTGGCCGCCGGCGGCGCCGAGGAGCTCCGGAGCAACGTGCTGCAGCTCCGCGAGACCGTGCTGCAGCAGAAAGAGACCATCCTGAGCCAGAAGGAGACCATCCGCGAGCTGACCACCAAGCTGGGCCGCTGCGAGAGTCAGAGCACGCTGGACACCGGCGCCGGCCGCAAGCAGCCCGGCTCGGGCAAGAACACCATGGGCGACCTGTCCCGGACGCCGGCCGCCGAGACGCTCAGCCAACTCGGGCAAACTTTGCAGTCGCTCAAAACCCGCCTGGAGAACCTCGAGGTCTGCTCCCGCCGCGGGTCCCCCTCTGGCGCGCGGGTCCCCCCACCTGCCCCACTCCGACCCGGCCGGACACCCCCACCCCCACCCCCACCCGGCCGGCGCCGGGAGTCTGGCCCCCCCTACGCATGTCCACTCTCCTGAGCACCCCGCCAGGCCGCCCCCGCAGTCGCCCCGCGAGGACCGTGCCGCCAGCCTCCCTGCTCGGTCCCCGCTCTGCGTGTAATGCCCCGGTTCCCCCTGCAGCAGTACAGCCGGCTCAACTCCTCCAGCCAGACCAACAGCCTCAAGGATCTGCTGCAGAGCAAGATCGATGACCTGGAGAGGCAAGTGCTGTCCCGGGTGAACACGCTGGAGGAGGGCAAGGGGGGCCCCCGGAACGACACGGAGGAGCGGGTCAAGATTGAGAGCGCCCTGACCTCCCTGCACCAGCGGATCAGCGAGCTGGAGAAAGGTAACTGCGGGGAGGGGGCGTGCGTGCCGCCCGCCTGGCCAGCCAGCTGGTGGGACCTTGCCAGGGTCCTGGCTCCCTACCGTAAAAGCCCAGAGCGCCTCCGCCCTTCCAGGGCCTTGCCGCCCCCCCACCCCCCAATCCTGCCCAGGGCTCCGGCTGTGTCTGTGGAGGGGACGCGGGGAGGGGAAGGGACTGCCTGCCGTCTCCTGTCCCCTCCACGCACACTGTCAGACGCGCAGGGTTTTTCCGAGTCTGGTTTGTGTGATCCTCAGTAACTTCGCGCCGTGGTCAGCCCAGGCCCTCCCTCGGAGGAAGCCTGGCTCTCGCTGGTGCCCCAGGAGCTGGGTCCGGCTGACCCCCGGTCCTCCCGTTCCCCCCCGCTGACTCGGGCCCTGAGCAGCTTTTCCCCCAGCTCCTCCGCGGGGTCCTCCGCGGAGCTCCCGGTAGCCCCCTCTGCCTGGAGCCCCTCCCCATGTCTGGGCATCTGGCGTGCCTGGCAGTTCCCGGGTGGCCAACTCCTAGAGGGCCCCCGCTGCACCCCGGGGCACAGATGAGCTCAGTGGCTTAGCCTTGAAGTCGCAGAAATCAAACAAGGTTGTAAGGGGGGGGGGGCGCCCGGGCTGAGAGGAGAGCCACGTGACCCTTCTCACACTGCAAAATGTGCCGGATGGATTTAAACAGTGCCATCTTAAGGCACCTTATGTAACTGAAAAACAGATCAGGGGAGGGAGCTGGGGGGAGGGGGGGAGGGGGGGAGGAGGGGAGAGTGGAGAGGCCAGGGCTGGACCCGCTCCAAGGGCAGGGGACTGCCCACCTGAGACTGCGTGGGCAGCGCCGAGGGGCCAGCCCTGCTCCGTGGTGAGCTCACACTTGGCTTGGAGGGAGCTGGCCCAGCAGGAAGCTGGCCCAGCAGGGCGCCTTCTAGAAATAATTCTTGGCCGAGGGGGCCGATTTAGTGCCGGACGCCCTGGCAGGCCTGGGGCGTCCCCGGGGGCTGGCGGCCGTGTGTTCCGGCCTGGCGCCGGTGCCCACTGCCACGCGGGAGTTTTTGCCCGGAGTCAGTCCCTCCCTGCCCAGGGCTGCAGCCACCTGGTTTGTGTGGACGGCGGGCGGGGGGGGGGAATGGCAGGCATTTCCTGGAGCCACCCGGCAGGCGCGGGGCTGGTGGCTGAGTGTGAGGGGGTCTGTCAGCCGGGAGACACACGGGAAGCTCACCCTGGGAGTGAGGGACACAGTCGTCCCCACGGCCACCTTGGTGGCCCCGGCCCCCTGGCTGTTCACCCCTCTGCAGGGCTCCAGATGGTTGCTGGGAGAGCCCGCGAGGGATGAGCCTCCCTCCTGCGAGGTGGGTGGGATTCTGGAAGCAGCCCGAGTCCCAGGGGCTAGCCGGCTGGGGGGTCGGGCGCGTGCCCTGGCTGCAGGAGGTGTGCCGGGCACCGGGCCGGGCTGCCTTCAAGGAGACTTGGAGAGGAGAGGAGACAGTGGCTCTGTGCTCAGCCAGCCGCCAGCGCCGGAACCAGGGCGGCCCCAGAGGGGCTGCTCCGAGGGGACCTAGCCTCTTTCTGGCTGGGCGGAGACTTCCGTCCTCTGGCCCACACCCTCGAGGTCCGTCAGCTCCCAGGGTGTGTGTGCTGGCCACCCCCTCCCCGCTCCCCCGGCACACACAGGGCTCACAGCCCACCTGCTCCCTGGCTGCTCTCCAGCTGCGTCCCCAGGGCAGCACCGAGAGGGAGCCGACCCCGCGCAGGGGCCTGGTGCCCCGGGACAGAGCTGCGAGCTCCCCAGGCACCTGCAGGACGGAGTCTGCGCTGTCCGTGCTGGGGGTGGGGGGGTGCAGGTGTCCAGACCCGGCCCTGTCCTCCCCAGGCCAGAAGGACAACCGCCCCGGAGACAAGTTCCAGCTCACGTTCCCCCTGCGGACCAACTACATGTACGCCAAGGTGAAGAAGAGCCTGCCGGAGATGTACGCCTTCACCGTGTGCATGTGGCTGAAGTCCAGCGCCGCGCCCGGCGTGGGCACGCCCTTCTCCTACGCCGTGCCCGGCCAGGCCAACGAGCTGGTCCTCATCGAGTGGGGCAACAACCCCATGGAGATCCTCATCAACGACAAGGTAGGGCCCCGCCCAGCGGGGGGCCGGTCCCGGCTGGCTGCGGGGTCGGGTCTGCGGTGACCCAGGACGCGCAGCCTCAGATGCTGCCGAGGCCCCAGGGGAGGCAGGGCTGAGGGCGGTGGAGGGAGCGGTGGGGGGCGCACCCTGGCCCGACTCCCTGAGCTGGGGGAGGCTGGAACCTTCCCCGGCAGAGAGAGGAGCCAGTCCAGGCGGGGCCCAGAGGCTCTTCCTGAGCCCGAATCCGTTTTGCTCTGTGCCTGGCCCTGGGGAGGGGGCCGGATGGGCCTGAGCCCCGGGCGGGGCCAGCCTTTCCCCTGGGAACCCTCCCCGGCTCAGCCCTCCATTAGCCGTGGGGCAGCTGCCAGCTCTCTGCTCCCCTGCCTCTAGGCCTGTGTTGGTGCTCAGTGACTAAACCCCGGGTTGCAAAGTGCCCTGCCCAGGGAGGCTGCCTCTCTGGGCCCCGTTTCCCCCCGTAGGGGTGGAGCTGCCCCACCAGCCCCGCCTGGACACTCAGGGTCAGGGAAGCGCCAGGTTGGAGGCTGGTATGAGCCCTCACGGGCACAGTGCCCTCCGCCCTGGTGTCCCTGGGATTCCCAGAGGACCAGGCAGCGATGGAGGGTGTGGGAGGAGCGGGGAGAGGCCCTGAGGGAGGGCTAGCAGGGGGTGGCGGTGGGTTCGGGTGGGTCTTGGGGGCCCCCGATGGAGACCACATTCCGTCTGTGACGCTGGCCCGCCCCCGGATGGGGCCCTCAGGTGGTGCCGCCAACCGGGGCTCCAGGCACTTGCTCTAAACGCACAGCAGGAAGGGTTAGTTCTGGCTGAGCCAGTCATTGCTGGCGCTGGGTCATCCCGAGTCCTCAGTGTCAGGTGCGTCCTTCCTCTCCCCAGGTGGCCAAGCTGCCCTTTGTCATCAATGACGGCAAGTGGCACCACATCTGCGTCACCTGGACCACCCGGGATGGGGTCTGGGAAGCCTACCAGGACGGCACCCAGGGCGGCAATGGCGAGAACCTGGCGCCCTATCACCCCATCAAGCCGCAAGGCGTGTTGGTGCTGGGCCAGGAGCAGGTACCAGCCACGGGGTGAAGGGTGGGGGGAGGGGCGGCAGCCAGGGGGAGGCGCCCCAGAGCCTGAGACAGGGCAGGAGGGGGTGGGGGGCTGAGGAGGGCAGCGAGTCAGGCAGCGGTTTGGGCAGAGTGGGGGCCCCACTGGGGGAAACGCCGGCAGCGGCATCTTCAGGGGCTCAGCCGAGCAGAGGCCCCGGCTCTGGGAGGCTGCAGCTGCCTTCGTGACGCACTGCCGCTTCCCAGGACCCAAACGGAAGCAGCAGAGGCCCAGGCCGCCTGCTCGCCGTGGGGGTGGGCAGCGGTTGAAGGCGGAGTGCTGTCTGGGTTCCTGGGCCCACCGAGGGGCGGGGCTGGACGCAGAGCTGGAGATGCAGGGACGGCAGGGGTGAACGTGCTCCACCCCCTCCATGGGGAGGCACAGACCCTTGTCCCCTAGGGACGCCCCCCCTGCCTGGCCCCCACTCCTCCCCCCACACCCTCCGCCCTCATCCTCTGCTTTTCTCGGAAGGACACCCTGGGTGGCGGGTTCGACGCCACCCAGGCGTTCGTGGGGGAGCTGGCCCACTTCAACATCTGGGACCGCAAGCTGACCCCGGGGGAGGTGTACAACCTGGCCACCTGCAGCGCCAAGGCCCTGTCCGGCAACGTCATCGCCTGGGCCGAGTCCCACATCGAGATCTACGGGGGGGCCACCAAGTGGACATTCGAAGCCTGTCGCCAGATCAACTGAGCCGCCGGCGGGCCGCGCCTCCCACCCCTCGGCCCCCACGCCCCCCGCCCGCCTCCTCTGCTTGTGCGGCGACCACCCGTCATCTGTGCGCCCCCGCCCCCACCGCGGAACGACTCCCGGCCGTGGCCCCCCCGCTCACACGCCCACGCCCACCGCCCGGTTCGGTCCCGGTGGCCCGGGAGGCAGGCCTGGCTCCCGCCGGTCCCCGAGAAGGGGCCCTTTCCCCGAGATCCCCGCCCGGTTGCCCCGGGCAGGCCGTGCCGATGGCGCAGGCGACGTGGCTTTCCGAACAACGCAGAAGTAGGTGAGAGGGCCGCGTGCGTGTGCGTGTGCACACGCGTGCGTGGGAATGTGCGTCTCTGGGGAGACCTTCTCTTGTAGAACGAGGCATCTCCTTCCCTTCTTCCTTCGTGGCTTCGGGAACCCTGGTGGCCGGTCGGCGCCGGTCTGCACCGCCCGCGCCTCGGGGCGGGCCGCCGCCTCCGCCCCACGCATGCGTCTTCGCTAGCGGAGCGCGTGCTGAGCCGCGCGTCTCCGAGTCGTTGGCGTGAATGTCTGTTCGTGGTTTGTCGAAGGCCGGCGGGGAGCCCGTCCACGGCCGTGTTTTAGTTCACGGCAGAAGTGGGTTTTCTCGGAGGGCGGGAGGCAGGCAGTGTCCTGGGGGGGCACCAGGAGCCAGGGGGCAGCAGAGGTGGGAGGAGCACCCTGCTGCGGGCATCGGAGGGCGGGGCCGGGCCCCGGGCGCCTTCACAGCCCCGAGCCCGGGACCCGTCCTCCCTTCCAGCCGCCAGCTCGCTTGCTGCGGCACTGGTGCCCCTGAGAGAGGAGCGCCCCCCACAGCCAGGAAGCCAGCCCCCCAGGCCCCCCGTTTGCCTCTGGTAGTAGAAGCCCAGAGGCTTCAGGGAATCAGCGCGAGAGGGAAATGCACGCTCCGAGGAAGACGCAGCCACGCGGCCCCGACAGCCATGTTCCTCCCACATCGGGGCCCAGGAGGCTGGCTCGCCCAGGTCCCCAGGGGGCAGGGTGCCTGGGACCTCTCACGGGGAGCCAGGCTGCAGGGCCGGCCAGGCCCTGAAACCCACCCCCGCTGCCCGTCACCGGCTGGTGACGCCGAGGCCTGACCGGTGTTCAGAAGCTTTGGATTTTCTTTTTCCCCATGAAAAGCTGCTACGCGCATTTCCTTCCAGCCCTCCCGAGGTGGGAGGGGTGCGCGTGCCCACGTGTGTGCGTTACGTGAGAGAGCGTGCACGCAGAAGGCTCGTGCCCCGGGGAGGGCGGGCTCCCTGCTTCTTGCACCCTGGGGGGGGGAGGGGTCACGCACCCCACGGGGCCCCGGGCTCTGTCACCAGGAGCCTCGGCAGCACGTGGCTGGCGAGTCTTCCTAGAGGCTGCCCGGCGCTGCCTGGCTCACCTGCGGCTGCAGGTGTTCCCCCTGGGGGGCAGGTGTCCCCGTCCCCTGTTCCTCCCGGGGACACCTGCACCCCGAAGCTCGGCCCGTGCGGGGCCGGAACCCAGTGCGTCCGTGTATCCGTGTGTCCGTGTGTCCGTGTCCGCGTGGGCGCCTGCACGTTGCCCGTCGCCGCCCCGCCGTCCCGCTGTCCCGCTGCGTGCCGCTCTTGGGCGGAGGGGGCGGCCGGGCTGCGCGTGGCGGCAACCCAGTGGCTTCTTCTGACCCTCGTGCTTCGTCGGAGCCCGTGGGCCGCGGCGCCCGCGGGTCCCCAGGGATCTTCTCCGTTTGCATGTCCCTCGGGGTGGGCGGCCCTGGCGCGCCCAGCCCGGTGTGTGTCCCCTGCCTGCATGGACTTCTCTGGTTCTGTGTTTCGTGCCGAGTGCCACCCATTGTTCTGTGACCATCCACGTCGCTTCTGGGGACGGCTGGGAAGGCCAGCCGTGGGTGGGGGGGGCTGGGGGAGGGTGGCGCCCCTCCCCCTCCTCCCCGCTCCCCAAACCCACCAAGAAGTACTTTCCTGTGTAGAAAGAGAACAGGCCTGAACAGCACCCATGGGAGAGAGCGAGAGCTTGGAAACGCCCCCCTAGACCAGACCGCCCACCCTCACTGCAGCCGCCTGGGAGCTGCCGCGAGGCAAGGCCCAGAGCGGCCCGGTGCTCTCGGTCGGCACCTCCCACCAGCCCCCTCGACCTGCCCGCCCGGACCACCTGCCCAGAGGGCGCGGTGGGAGCTGCCCGCCCAGGACCACAAGCCATCCTCTGCCCCAGCCCAAGAGGGCAGAGCACACCCAGACTCGAGGTCTATGTCCCCCTCCGGCCCCTCCTCGGGCGCCCCCACGGCGCCGGGGGGCACAAGCTGACATTTAGCTCCCCCCTCCCCCAACCGGAGCCTGTGCCAAGCCCCCTGACGCCCTCACTGTGTAAACACTTGGCAGTTTGCCGCCCCGAGAGAGGCAGGTGACAGAGCCACAGATCTGACCCCCCGGTCCCCACCTCCTCCCGATCTGATTGACGCCCCCTCTTGCACTGAGCACCCCTGCCTCTCTCAGGTAAGCCATTTTGTAAAACACGGAGATGACACGCACTGTGGGGACAGTGTCGCTTCCGCCGAGCTGACCGCAGCTCCCGGCGCAGCCGGGGCGGGGGACGGCCGCCCACAGGCTCCCCCCCCCGCCCCACTTGAATCGTAAGCCTTCTTGCTTTTGATAACACGGTATTATTTCTCTTACTGTAGAAGAAAAAGTTTATTACCAAACAAGAGTATTTTTATGAAAGAATAGGACAAACCTATAAATTAACTCAACCCCTGTTTCCCTTGAAAAAAACTTTTCAGGCTCCGCCAAAACGTTGGACTGGAAGCGCCTATTTTGGAAGAAAGAGATGCATTTTGTATGCTTTCTTTTCCTTTTGTAGACTCCAGTTTATTTTCTAGGATCACTTTGTCACCAGCCCTGGGACCTGAGACCAAGGGGGGGTGTCTCGTGGGCAGCGAGGGGAGGGGAGAGGCTGGCCTGAGGTTTGCGGTCGGCCGTTCCGGCGAGCTCCGAGGAGGGCCGCCTGTTCTCGCAGGGGCGTCGGGACCAGGGTGTCCGTGGGCCGTGCGCGGCGGGCCCGGGGTCTCAGAGCTGGCTGCCCTGTCGGGGGGACGCGAGGAGGGCTGACGCAGGAGCTGGGGTTACGTGTGATTGCCACCAGGGGTGGGACCCTGGGCGACCCTGCGGCACTGAGATGTGGCCGGAAGCCGCCCCGGCTTCCTCCCCGAAAACACGGCATGCGGGGGGGACCCGGCGGACGGCAGGACATGCGCTGACTCCGTGCCCAGGCGACCCCGTGCTGCTGGTTGTAGGGGAACAAGTCATTCGGGAGGGAAAAAAAAACAAAGCCCAATTCTTAGAGTCCCGATTTCGTCTTAGTTGCCAAAACCGGCGCCCCTGGCAAACAGTCTCGCCATGGACGCGAGCCCCCATGGTCGGCGGTGCCGCACTGTACATACTGTAACATACGGCAGGCGGTCGGCGTCTTCCTCCCTCATTATTTGCTAACCAAAGCCGAACACTTTTCATACAACCTGCAGCCTTTCGGCCACCAAATGGGTCAGAACCGTGGGACCTGCCACCTCCCATCTGCGATTCCGGAAATGCACTATTTCTACTGGTATTCTTGCTTTCTTTCTCTTTTCCTTTTCTTGCTGAAACGACATGAATTGTTGAGTTTATTTTTACACAGTAAAGAGTGAAGAAAGACGCTGGTCTCCTTGGAATGTGTCTTTTGTTCATGTCAACGGGCCGGACCCCTCGGGGTACCCCCCAGGGGACCCTCCCCGGCAGGGAGGGAGGGAGCCTGCCTTTGTGTCTGCGTTGCACTGGGCCCCTCCGGTGACACTCCGGTGACGCCAGGACATCCGGAGAGGGAAGGGCCTCCCCAGGTGGCTGGTGTAGTTGACTGGAGGCAGAGAGCGTCAGAGTGACCTTGGGGCGTACTGGGCTGGGGGCGCAGGGTGGCCCCGCCCACCCCTCTCCCGCAGCCCTGCCTGCCGCACGGGCTTGGCGGGGTCCCAGACGGGCCCAGGCTTGTCTTCCCAAATGCACCTGCTCTGCTCTCCTCGCCCCCCGCCCAGGGTCCTCCCCTGGGGTCTCGGGCCCCTCCCTGCACACTCGCAGGAGAGCACCCCCACGGTCACGTGACGAGGGCCCCCGGAAGACCCAGGGTGCCGGGGACAGCGTCGCCCCCCCAGCCCCTTGCGCACCACCCTAGACTGCGGGTGGACGGAGAGTTCGGGAACTGCTTCCTCCCAAGGCACAAAATGACCAAGAGCCCCCTGGCTGGCCGGGCTCCAGCCCTAACACACACACGCACGCACATACATGCACACGCGTGGACGCGCACACCGGGTTACAGAAGGGACCGGTCCCTCGGGCGTCTTGCTGGCGCCGCCGAGGGCGCACACACTCTCGGCCTCGCCCACGGCCAGCCCAGGCTTGCGCCCAGTGCCAGCAGCTCCGGCCGACACATCGCCGCTCTGCGCCCCTCCTGGGGAAGGGCAGGGTGGCGCCCGCGGTGACCTCACAGGGAGAGCCCGTCCCGGAGCTCTCGTCGGAAACAGACTGCTTTCCACACCTGTCACTCCTGGCCTCCGCGCGTCCGTGAACGACTCCAGTGGGGCCACGGGGCCCCGCGTGGCTCAGAAGGAGGCCGCAGGGCCCCGGGCTGACAGCCCGGGCAGGGCGACAGGCGCAGGAGTTTGAAGCTGGAGAGTGCCGTGGCCAGGAACAAATCTGTTCTCAGCTTGCATGCTTCTGGCGACGGCGAGCTCATTCCCGCAGGGACGGCCTGTCCACTCTCACCCACCCCTGTCAGGAGTCTGCTCCCGTGCTTCTGTCTTTACATTTTTACCTAGTATTGTGCTCAGTTCTTTGTACTGCGCGGCCACGTCCACCTGTCTGTCCACACATGTGAAGATGGCCACCGTGTCCCCGAGTCCTCACCATCCCTGCCCCCTGAGCCATCATCATCTACCCTCTGTGGAGGAGGAAGAGGCGCTGCGTCCGACCCCGTCAGACGTCTGGGCTGGGAGGGCCTGGAGGGACACTGCGTCCAGCTACTCTGCTGCCCGGATGCGGGGACCAGGGCCCAGACAGGCTGTGTGGCCGCTCAAGGTCACACAGCTTGCCTGTGCCGGGGCCAGAATCAGAACCTAGTAGTGCTGGCTCCCAGCCCTGGGCTCTCACCTGGCCCCCACCCCAAACAACTCGGTCCTCGCCTGTGACACGGGCTGACAGTCCGCACCTGCCAGGGCGTGAGGGTGGGGTGAGCAGGTGTGCACAGGGCCCGGCCCGGGCCAGGCGCAGGTGCAGGTACAGGTGGGGGCTGCTCCCTCCCCTCCGCCACACCGCGCTCAGGAGGCCTGGGCACCCCCCACTGCCCACAGCCCTCCCGTGGACCATCGCCTCCCCGGGGCGCCGACGCCCCCAAGAGCTTGGAGACATTGCTGGGTTGAGGGCAATCCCCTCAGGACGGGGCCACAGCACATGCGGCTGCAGCCCTGGACTCCGGGGAACCTGGTCGGCTCCTGGAAGCTCCCGAGGCCTGCTCCCCACCCCCACGACCCCCACCCGGGACCTAGGGCTCAGCCTGCGTGTCTCTCCGGCAGGCACCCCGGGCCGGCCCACTCCAGGGCTTGTCCAGCTCCCCGCAAGCAGCGGAGGACGGTCAGCCCTGAGCCCCCGCGGTTAGGTTGGGGGTGTGGCCTGAAGGAGCCCCCCCCGCCCCCCGAGACACACACAGCTCTCTCAGGCCTGTGCTGTGCTCCGGCTGGGATCTCCAGGGCTTCCTCCCCATCTGCACGCCGGCCCCGGGCAGGAGCCCCGGCCCGCTCACCCCGGCCCCCGGCCGTGCCCCCGGCCCCACAGCCCCTCTCCGCAGACCTCCCCAGAGTGCCCAGTCCCCTTGGGCTCCGAGGACTTCCGTGCTCCCCGGAAGCAGGAGAGAAGAGACACTGGGGGAGTTCCAAAGGTTCCAGGGTTCTGTGGAAGGTTCCGAACCCAGGGCTTGGCTTCTCTGTCGGCACCAGGAGCCACTCAGAAGGTGCCGGAAGCTTCCTGAGTGGGGCTCAGCTGGCTCAGCCCAGGCAGCAGGGGCTGGGGGGCCGGTCGGGGTAAGGGGAGTCGCCAGTTGGCAAGGCTGCCAGGACCCGCAGAGGTGCCTGAGCCCCCCCCCCCACGCCCTCCCCCGCTACAGCTTCTTCCACAGCCCACCTGGGCCAGGGCCAGGGCCAGGGCCCACCTCCGGAGAGCGTCCCAGGCCCTGTGGAGCCCTCCAGCTCCACCTCTGGAGGACCCCTGCCTCCCCGCAACGCTGCCACCGCCCCCTCCCCCCATGGCCACTGGCACCTGCGCACCGTGCGGCGTGCTCTGTGCTTACCTGTGTCTCGTCCCGTGTGCACCTCGGTCCCAGCAGCCACCTGCAGACAGTGCCCGAGTTTGCAGACAAGAGCCCAGCGAAGAGGCCAGGTGACCTCAGAGTGACCTCTGAGCCCTGAGGGTCTGTGGGACGGCAGCTGCAAGCCCCTCCCTCCACACCAGCCTTCCTTCAGGTCAGAGTTCAGCCGCGGAGGTGGCTGCTGCCTCCCAGAGCACCCAATGCCTCCGAGCTCAAGGACCTCTGCCCAAACTGCCCTTCACGGGCACCTGGCTGTCCCGAGAGCCTGGACCCCTCCCAACCCCGTGTGCGGTGTCCAGGGAAGTCCCTGAGACCCAGCTCCCTGAGGTGTCATCCCCACGGGGCAGGACCGCTCTCCTCTCCTGACGTTCAAATATCGGGCTGGACACAAAGTTCCTTTGGTTTTTTCCCCACACAACGGCTCTAGTGTGCTTAGTCATCTTTAACTTCATTTGAAACAATTTTGCACTCTGGCTGGTGTGGCTCAGTAGACCAAAGTGTCACCGGTTCAGTTCCCCGTCAGGGCACATGCCTGGGTTGTGGGCCAGGCCCCCAACGGGGGGTGTGCAAGAGGCAACCACACATGGATGTTTCTTTCCCTCTCTCCCTCCCTTCCCCTCTCTCTAAAAATAAATAAAATGTTTTTTAAAAAAGAAACGATTTTGTTAGATTGTTTTGTGACAGCTGTCCTATCAGCCGGCGTGCATTAAAAAGAAAGCTTATCAAAATTGGTGAATTTTTATGTAGCCATTTTAATATTAAAGATGGAAGAAAATATGCAACATTTTGATCTTTATTATCTCTAGAAAGGTAAAAATGCAACTGAAACGCAAAAAAAAAGCTTCGTGAGGCTGGGGAGAAGGGGCTGGGACCCATCAAGCATGTCCAACGCGGTTTGTGAAGCTCCGTGCGGGGGATGCCTGCGGGACGCCGCCCCACGGCCGGGCAGCCCAGCTGGAGTGGACTGCGGCCACATCAAGACACTGACCGAGAACCGTCAACATCCTGCCACGTGGGAGATCGCCGACACACTCAGAATATCCAAGCCAATCAGCTCTTGGTGAAAATGAAAAATGTGTCTCTTATTCTCTTTTTTAAGATTTTATTTATTTATTTATAGAGAGGGAAGGGAGGGAGAAAGAAAGAGAGAGAGAGAAATATCAATGTGCGGTTGCTGGGAGTCATGGCCTGCAACCCAGGCATGTACCCTGACTGGGAATCGAACCTGCAACGCTTTGGTTCGCAGCCCGAGCTCAATCCACTGAGCTATGCCAGCCAGGGCTGTGTCTCTTATTCTATGGAAAAAACTGAACGGACTTCTGGGCCAGCCCAGTACATTGCCTTGAGCAGCCTGATCCTTGGAACCTGAAAACCATTTCATCTCTCGGTTTCTCCAGGAAGGACACTTGCATTTCCTGAGACTCACGCGGTCACTCTGGGAAGCGGACAGTGGTCCCCCTCGGTTTCCCCTGCCTGGCCGGGCTTGTCGTCCCCTTGGGCTCTCCCTGGAGCCTAAGGACCAGTGTCCCCAAGCCACGGCTGCCAGTGGGCCCCTCTGCATGGGACCCTGACGCCGCCCGCCCCCGGCCGCCCTGTGCACACCGCGGCTCTGGCCCTTCGCCACTGTGCGCCCCCCGCCCCCCCGTCAGCACAGGCCCCTGGGATCTGTGCAAACCAGACCTTGCTACAATGCGGACTGTCCTCTCGGGGTCCCCACTGTCCTTCCTGAAACCTTCAGGCCGGACCCCTGCCCCGAGGCCACGCACCAGTTCCTATTTCTGAGCCTCAGGGGGAGACCCACATCCCACCGTCCCCCCAGACGTTTCTCAGCTGCCGTCCGAGTCGGGGGGCTCTTGGGGCAGGGGCTGCACTTGGGAGGCCCCAGCCCACCCATCAGCCCGTCCCCGGTGCGCCAGGACCCCCAGGGGGGACATGGGCTTCTGCGGCCTCTCTTTCGCAAAGGGCGGAGGGGACGGGGCAGAGAAGGGCATCAGGGACCAGACAAGCCCCCACCGAGCCCTCGGAAACTGCCCTCCCTCCCTCCTTTCTCTCCCTCCAGGTTGCCTGCGCTGCACCCGGACCGGGCGCCCCATCGGCGGTCTGCAGGGCGGGGTCCCAGGCCGGCTCCGGGGTGTGGAACCGATGGAGACCCGTGGGGGCGGGGCGGGGGGGGGCGAGGGCGAGTGCGCAGGCTTGTGTGACTGAGACGCATCGCCGAGGCGTCTGTCCCTGCTGGATTTCCGTGCTTCTCAATTCAGGCCACGGTGGGGGCCATCTGGCGCAGTGGGCACGGAGAAAACGTTTT